TAAGTACTGGTTTTTTTGCTGACTCCTTTTGTGACCTTCAGCAACTTATCACTTCTCAGGACCTCATTTCCTTTATGTGTAAAATATTCTATACCCTAAAGTCCCTTCCAGCTCTGATATTCCAAGTCCTTTATCTGATGCCTCTCTACTTCAATACCAACAAAAAGCCTAGGGCCAGAGGACTGAGGAAGGCACCCAATGACATCCCCAATCTATTGCAATGACCTCCTAACTGATCTCCCTGACTCCATTCTCTTCCCCTGCAATACCCATCGCACAGACTGCCAAAAGAATTTTCCTAAAACACTATTTTTGACTGCCCATTCCCCTGAAAAGAAAGCACCAAGGACTCCTCATTGCCTATAAGATAATAACAAACCTCTTAATCATCTTGGTCTTCCTCTAATGCCCAAGAACTAGGAGTAAGTAGACCTTGTCAGACTTACCACCAATTTGATGTTATTTAAAGGAATTGATCTCAGTGTTCTCTCAGCAAGAGAAAGAATATGAACGATGTGATCACTAAGACCTCTTCTAGCTATTAATAATATCCTATAATATTCTATGTAATACATAATATACATTCTATGTGATATTATGTAACATATAATGTAATATTTTAAAATATTCTGTGTCCTAAAGAGTCTCCTAGCTCTGAATTTCTACATCCTGTGTTCTCACATTCCTTCTAGCCCCAAGTTCCTTGTTCTATGATGAAATTATGGTTATTTCAATGAATCTATCAAAAAAAATTTTCTAAGCACCTACTATGTACCAGGTACTGTACTAAGCACTGGGGATCCAAAGAGTCAAAAAAAAATAGTCCCTGCCCTCAAGGAGTTTACAGTCTAGTGGGAGAGACAACATGTAAACAAATATAAACAAACAAGATGTAAACAGGACAAATAGGAAATAATTAACAGAAAGAAAGCACTAGGATTAAGAGAGGTTGGGAAAAGCTTCCTGTAAAAGATGAGATTTTAGTTGGGACTTACAGAAAGTCAGGGAAGTCAATAGGTATAGTTGAGGAGGGAGAGAGTTCCAGACATGGGGAGAAAAGCCAAAAACAATATCTGAAGCTTATAACTGGAGAATGTTATAAGTCAGTATCACTGGATCAAAAAGTACCTTCAGTGGAGTGTTATGGAAGAAATATCTCCTTTTTGAGTTCATTGGGTAGATGAGTGCTGCCAAATAGTTCTATCACAAAAGCAGAAATTATGGAGGTAAAAACTTAGGTTTTATTATGCTTAAGCTTAAGTACAGGTCAGGAGGTAGAAAAAGAATCCTGAATCCTGATTGGAATTTCCGAAATAACTTTTATAAAGAAAATCACATCAGAGAGACTGAGAAATGAATTCTTTTACATATTTCAAACTTGTACATTTTTTTAGGTTATAGAAGTTTTTAAAAAAGGATTTCTAATCCTATGCTTCCTTCCAGGTTATAAAAGTTGAACAAATTTAGTCAAACAACCATAATCTCACACATCCCCTAAGGAAACATAGTTTAGCAGACTCTATAGGTAAACTAAGTCAGGTTATAGACTAAACTACACTTAGAGGGTTTGCAAAGGACTGATTGAGGGGGAATTTACACATCTCTCAAGATAACCAAGGAGTCAGGGACAGCTGATATTTTTCTTCAAATAATTTAGATCATTTTGTCGCTCCTTTGGCTTCTATCTGAATGTCAAAGAGTCTTCACTTAACACTATATTCCATGAGCCAGATTTTGATCAGATGAGGTTAATATTAACAGAAGACAGACTTTTAGTCAAACAGTTGCAAGAGAAATGGCCCTGAGACTCAAACAATAAAAACTAATGAAAAATGAAAAATTTCCATAATGGGAGTAAGGTCTAAGAATGGCAGAAAGTTAGGAGGGAGCTTGGTTATGAAGGTCTCTGAATGCAAAAGGAAGATTTTGTATTTGCTCCTGGAAGCAATAGGGAGCTACTGAAATTTACTGAGTAGGAATGTACCATCACTGACTGAGAAAATTACTCCAGAAAACAGCATCTGAGCTGCCAGATAGGTAGGGGTCTAATTCTTTGCTAGACAAGGTCCCACAGATCCCTTTGGGCTATGCTGGCAGCAAATTCTGGTATGGACTACCATTCCTGAACCTCTCAGGGCCTTTCCCACATGTCAAAGCTCACAAGGTCACAGCACAATGTATAATTTTTATAATATACTATTGTAATCTTTTAGCTAGTATTTTATTTAGGATTTTTCTATCCATATTCATTAATGAAATTGGTCCATAATTTTCTTTCTCTGTTTTTACTCTTCCTGGTTTTTGTACCGGTATCATATTTGTCTCAAAAAAAGAGTTTGGTGGGATTCCTTCTTTACTTATTATTCCAAATTATTTAATACTGGTTAGTTGAACTTTAAGTGTTCAATAGCATTCACTTGTAAATCCATTTGGTCCCAGTGCTTTTCTCTTAGGAAGTGCATCTATGGCCTGTTCAATTTCCATTTTATTTAAATTATTAAATTTACTGGCATATAATTGGGCAAAATAACAACTTTGAGTGAATAAGTTAGTTTGACCATTATAAATACCCAAATTAACTATAAAGAGCATGTGAAGAAAGACACTATCTGCATCCAGAGAAATAACTGATGAATAGAAGTATATATAGAATAATTTTACGTATATGTCCATATTTGTGTCTAATGGTAGCCATGGGGGAAGGGGATGGAAGAAAAAAAAAGGAAAAAGATTTACATTATAATTTCATTGTATATTTAAAAGGAATAGCAAGTTATACATAGTAGATTTGCAGTTTCATGTGTGATCATCTTTTTTAAATTATATTATGTTATGGAAATGATTGTTTTATTCCACAAATTTAAAATAGAAAAAATTAAAAAAAAAAACTAGGTCACAATATAGTTCATTCCATCTCCAAAATTCACTTCAGTAAGGCAGAAAAAAAAATAGACATAGAAGGGTCAGAAACAACAGCAGGACCATATGCTAATGGCTTCATATCAATGTGGGTGGAGAGAGGTGGGTGGGGAAGAGCCTAAGGCTTTTAGCAATTACTGCCTGCCTCCTCACAAGAATGAAGCCAAGGAGGAAAAAGGCTGAATTGTACTGCCCACCCCCCACCCCCAATCTCATATATGCACCCTTAGTTCCAGATGCTGGAATGCTATATAGGCTGGAATCTCATTGCCAAGTCTTAATTTCTCTCTCTCTCTCTCTCTCTCTCTCTCTCTCCCTTTCTCTCTTTCTTCACATATATACATACACATATATGTGTACATATATGTATATATACCTATGTGTGTATAAATCTATTTTTGCAGGTGAAGAGACTCAGAGAGTGGTTATTATATCCCCTGACTTTTTGCATTCAATAATAACAAAAGGAAAATAGACCACCCTTTAATACATACATCTCAACATATTGAATTTAGCTATCTTGGCCTTCAGCCTACATATGCAACATCTATAACTCATCCTGAACTGGTTGCTCTTCCATCTTTGTAGACCCTATGGGAACTAGCAGCAATCCACAAGCCCAGCTTTCAAGAATCTAGGGTCATCTCTCCATGGTACAATGAGGCATCTGATGAGGCATCCCAGTTGGACTTAGGTAGAGGGCCCTAGACATAGGTGTTTATTAAATGTTTGTTGAATGTGTATATAGGGGCAGCTAGGTGGCGCAGTGGATAGAGCACTGACCCTGAAGTCAGGAGGACCTGAGTTCAAATCTGGCCTCAAACCAAACACTTGACACTTTACTAGCTGTGTGACCCTGGGCAAGTCACTTAACCCCAATTGCCTAAACATAAAAAAAATTAAAATGAATGTGTATATAAATGAATGAAGAAGTTAATGTTTCATTAACTGTTTTTAAGTGGGGTGAGGGAGAAGGGGGAGGGGCACTTGCATTTTCTTTCACTAAGGATTCCACCCATCTAAAATTTCATCACTCATCTCCTAGGAGTATCTGTTCTGCCCTATCTCTTATCTAAACATCAGTTCAGTTCTCATTTGGAACAGACTTAGGGATACCTGTTAAAATATCATTTATTGAAAGGTAATAGAGACTGATAAATATCAGGACGGCTGAGCAATGTTTTTTCTTTGTCAGGGATATCATAAAAACTGGAAAGGACTTTAAAACAATAAAAGGGAATGCTATATTTGAAAATGATCTTAAAACACAGAATATAAAATCCAGAACTGCATATTTTGAATGTAGAATATCAGCACTAGAAAGGAACCTTAGAATATTAGAATGTTATAGAATATTAGAATATGTAATATAGATATTAGAATAAAAGAACAAAAAATGTTAAAGCTAAAAAAGGGGAGAAGGAATCTTAGAATATAGAATGTTAGAGATAAAATGGTCCTTAGAACATAAAGTTTTAACATCTTGGAGGCCAGGACTATATGTATCATTTTTATCTTTGTACTTCCCTAGGATATGGCACATTGTACTGAACATAATAGATGCTTGAGAATTGGTCCTTCAATTGAATAGAATGTAGAATGTCAGAACCAGAAGAGATCATGAAGCATAAAATGTTAAAAACCAACTAACATGAAATATTGGAGCTGGAAAAAAAGTGGAAACTACAGAACTATAGAATATTAGAACTCATTGGCACCTTAGAATATTGAACAGAGAAAATCTGTCCTGGAGAAGATCTTAGACTATAGAACATAGAATGTTGAAACATGGAAGAGGCCCTAGAAATGCTGTAGTTGCAACTGCTTCCTTTCACATATGAAGAAAGTGAGACAAAGAGATGGGAAATGATTTCTCTAAAGTCACATAACTGGTTAGTGGCATAACTGAGACTAAAACCCACGGCTTCTTACTCCCAGTCCTGGGATCTTACCACCAAATCATGCTGCCTGACAGGAGTCATTTGAAACATAGCTCTGTCTTGCCTAACATCTTAATTAACTCCATTATAAGTGAATGACATCATTCATCTCTGTTGTATAAATTGAATGCAAGTTCATGGCTACCTCCAGGACTCAGCTGAACCCCAAGGAACGAGAATGGCCACCTCAGTCCTTCATATGATGATGGCCATAGGGCTGTTAACTTTGATTCTTCCCTGCCATGCTGGTGAGTGTTTGGGGTGTGCAATAGGAGAAACAGTTGGTACAATTACTATATAATCATTGGATATGAGAGATGAAACCTTAGAGCATCATGTCCACCACAACACTCCCTGCCCTTCATTTTGACAAAAGAGAAACTCAGGCTCAGTAAGTAGAGCTGACTTGTGAATGCAAAGCTAATTTGTATATGTATATGTGTGTATACACATATACATATATATGGTTATGTGCATACACAAATAAGTATATGTGTGAATCTATATGTGTATGTTTATAGTCTTATCTATGTGTTCATGTGTGCATATACACATATATACATATATGTATGGATAGGGTTAGAGATTAGATCTGTGATTCGTTGGTATAGGAAATTTCTGGGTGGGGTAACTCCCACTACCAATGCAGATCAGTACCTTTTCTACAGTTTATAGTCTTAGAGACTTGCTTAGACCACTGTGAGGTTAAGTGACTAGCCAAAGGTCACACAGCCAGCTTGAGGCATAGCCAGATTTGAACCAACTGACCCTAAGGTCAATTCTCTAGTCACCATGCCACACTGCGTTTCTACAATGTAATATAATTTAATATTGTATTTAATATGACATGACATAATATATAAGATCATGTAATATAATATACAACATAATATAATTTATAGTTTGTATAGTATTGCACAGAATAGTAGAATAGAATAGCATATGATGTGATATGGTATGATATGATGATATGTTATGATATGATATATGATGTGACGTGATGTTATGTGATATAACGTAGTATAATATAACATGATGTAATATAATATAATGTAATATAATTATTATATTGTTATAATTGTAATATAATGTTATATAGTATAATGTTATTATGTATAATGTATAATTACATTATATGTTACATTGATGTTATTTAGTTATTTCCAATTCTTCATGACCGCATTTGGGGTTAAATGACTTGCCCAGCGCCACACAGCTAGTATGTGTCTAAGGATGAATTTGAACTCACAAAGAGGAGTCTTTCTGACTCCAGGCCTGGCACTTTATTCACTAGGCCACCTAGCTACTTTGTGTCACATTACATTATACTACATTATATCACACCACAGTACATCAAATCATATTATACTGCATCTTACTTTATCACATCACATCCTATATTCTAACTGATAATACTATAATATATGTAATGCAATTTAAGAAAATATGATATAATGATATAATTTCATGTAATATAGTAATATAACAAAACATAACCTAACATAAAAATAATTTAATGTAATTTATAGTATATATATATAGTCTAGTTGAATATTGTACATTAAAGTCAAGTAGGATAAGTTAATATGTATCACATGAAGTGTTATGATATGGTATTTTATATTAAAATGTGATATGATGTGATTTTATATATAATATGACATAATATAATATAATTAATATATCTAGTTATTTCATATTTTGATATAATATGCCACATAGTATAGTAGAAAAACACTCAAAACTGGAAATCAAGGGACCTCTACCACTACCTGTATGCTGTGAGACCTCATATAAGTCCTCAAGCTCTCTAGTCCTCAATTTGTTCATCTATAAAATGAGGGGTGTTGAATTAGGGTATCTCAAGCATGTTATGTAGTCAGTACTCTTTTTTTCTAATCTTTTATAATATAAGGATCCTTACAGCAGTGGCATTCTACTCTATGTTCTAATATTCTAGATTGTAAAGAAATTCCCATTTCTGATATTCTTTGTTATAAAGAATTATCTAATTCTGTCAGTCTATGATATAACCTCCCTTCTATCAATATTTTATGTTTTCTGTCCTAAGGAATTTATCTACTCTGACATTCTATCTCTTGTGTCCTAGAACTTCTGTCTGGAACACTGTCTTAAGGGAAAGGACTCTGTTGTTTTTATCTTTTAATTCACAGCATCTAACACAAAGACAAGCATGGGAGACACTTACGGAATCTTTATTAAAATGGTTTGAATATTTTAGAATCTACATTCTAAGATCTCTTTTAGCTTCAAGAACCCATGTTCTAACATTCTATGTTCTAAGGTTCCTTCTTACTCTAATGTTATATGTTCTCTTTGCTTAGGTCTCTTGCAGATCTAACATTCTATGTTCTATATTCTAAGATGCCTTTCAGTTCTGGTATTCTGTGTTTTTTATTCTAACATTATACTTTCCAAGGTTTCTTCCAGGTCAACATTTCTGTGTTCATTGTTCTATGGGGCTTTCCATTTAAAACCTAGGATCTAGATTCTATGATACAGACAATAAGATCCAGAGACATTTCTTTCAGACATAACAAAGAGAACATAAGTCTAATATTGTTGCCATTTCCTCCAAATGGCTGAGGCAATTCTTTGGGTTCCAGGTGATGAGCTATCCAATTATGGTGAAAATTCAGACAAGGATCTCCCATCAGTCTTGAACTTTCTAGGCACTGGGATTATTGATTCTGCAGTAAACTATGTCCTCAATTCAATATATCAGAAATCGTAAGTAATATGAAACCCACCAAGACTGAATTAGGGGAGGGGGTCCTTTATTGGTACAATGCAGGGCATATTGTTAAGACTGAATTGTCCAAAAATTGTCATGTTTTATTCCCCTGTGGGCTTCATGTAGGCTTGAATAACATGACCATCAAGAAAGCTTACATTTTGTTTGGCATCATAATATATAGATGTAGATATATCACATAATATATGATTTTACATATATATGTATATTATAATCTTTGGTATGTCATGGAAGGCTCTGCACTGGCCCCTTCCCTACCCTCCCTAACTCGGGGCCCAGATTGCAGAGTTGCTTGAATTTGGTGTGGACATGGGCCACAGTTCTTATGTGTGGGTAGAAGTCCCAGACAAGGTAATATTAATAGTGCTGAAGTCAGGACTATAGCTCAGATCTCCTGACTCTCTATCAAGTTAAAAAAAAGGAGGGGGGGGAAGAAGCAAAAATCAATCAGTTATTCAGTTACTCTTTGATGAGCACCTACTCAAGGGCTGGAGTTTGAAGAAAGCAGAGGGATAAATAAACCACAGTCCCCGTCATGTCAGGTACTTAAAATTCAACCCTATCATTTACAGATGAGAAAATAGTCTGCACAGATATGAATCATTGAATCATTAGCTAAAGTCATTTAAAATAAAATGGTAGATCTAGAAGGGATCATAGAACATGCAATGTAGAACATTTTAACTGTAGGGGACCTTAGAACATAGAATGTTAGAGCTTAAAAAAGCCTTAGGACATAGAATTTGTCCTAAGTTGGATAAGGCTGTAGTACACGGAATATTAGAACTAGAAAAGATCTTCTTATGACAAAACAAAGAGAACTAGAAAAAATCTTTAACAGATCAAACATTTGTGCCAAAATCATCTTAAGAACATAAAATGTTAGGGCACAATTTGGCCTTAGAATATAAAACATCACAAATGGAAGGACGCTTAAAACATCAGTCACTGAAGAGGAAGAGAAATGGGTCATTTTGTATTATTGAAAAATGGCAGTAGGAGGCTCTGATTCTAAATACAATGATCTTTCAATTACAACACACTTCTGGGAGGGCATGTAAAATTATAGGTTCTTGCATCTTGATTTGGAAGGAACTTCAGATGTCATTTAGTCCAACCTCTTTCCTCATTTTACAGTTGAAGAAACTAAGGTGAAGTGATTTGCCCAAATCTATACAAGTAGTACACATTCAAGGTGGGATTTAAATCCAAATCCTATCCTTTGATTTCACAACATGGAATATAAATAAGTTCATTAATTCAACAAGCATTTATTAAATGCCTACTAAGGACCAGCCACTATTCTAGGTGCTGGGCATATAAAAATTTAAAAAAATGAAAGTGGTCCTTGCCCTTTTTAGCATTAGAAAGGTCTTTAGAAAATAGAACTCAGATTATTATCTATAAAGATGCTTTTAAACATAGAAGATAGGATGTTGGAGACAAATCTGTCTAATTCCCCTTAATCTGGTTTGAAGACAATTTATTTTTTCTTCTTTTCCCACTCTTGTCAAGTGGCTTTTTGGAATGGCAAGAAGATTCAAAAAATGATTCAGAATAATAGGTAAGTGGATGATTTTCACATTTAATTTTCAGTCTAACATTAACAACATGTATGTAATGGGAAGAATACTGGAACTGGAATCAGTGTGCCTTGTTTTGAATCATGGCTCTGCCACTTACTACCTATGTAACCATAAGAAACTCATTTGCCCTCTCTGAGCCTCATTTTTCTCCTCTACGAAATGGAAAGATAAAACCCTGACCTACTTTCCTAATAGGACTATGACAATTACTGATATCATGGATGTGAAAGTACTTTGTGAATCATAAAGAACTCTAAAAGGTAGGACTGACCTGTCCCAGATCTTTGACCCAAATGTTTTAGGAGATCAAAAATAAACTTCAAGATGCAGAAACTATTTCAGAATTATATCTTAGAAGCAGAAGGAATTCCAGAGAGCATCTAAGCCAAGGGTGGGGAACCTGTGGTTTAGAGGCTACTTGTAGCCTTCTAGGTCCTCAAGTGCAGCCCTTTGACTGAATCCAAACTTTATAGAACAAATCCCCCTAATAAAAGGATTTGTACTGTAAAACTTGAACTCGGTCAAAAGGCCATATCCAAGGACCTAGAAGGCCACATGTGTCCTAGAGGCTGCAAGTTCCCTACCCCTGATCTAATCCAATCTTTGTTATTTGTCCTTTGTTCTCAAAGAGGACCATGACATCAGAAAGATGATGACATGACTTGCAATTGACTTTGATTTGAGTGAGGGAGGGCTGTGCAAAGTCATCAGCCTTAATATCTGGCTGCTGGATGCAGAAAACAATCTATACTTGAAAAGGAAACATTCACCATGTACAAAGCTTAAAGTCTGGGCCTTTGAAGGTGACAAAGATGAGCAAAACACAATCTTGCCTTCAAGGAAAGAGGAAAGAATGGTATGAGAGTAGGCAAGGAGGTTAAAATAAAAGGCATAAATCCTGCACTAGGAATATTGAGCAGACCTATTTGAATAGAGTACCAGGCAGGTGAAGGAAACTAGCAGAAGATATGGCTGGAAAGACACACTGAAGCCATGCTAAAGAGAACCCTTGAAAGCCAGGATAAGGAATTTGTCCTATAATAAATATTGTGGCCTAGGATGTCACTAGATGTTTCAAAGTCCAGGCACATGACCAGAGATGTGTGTTAGGAAAATTAAAGAGGCAGTCCCTGGATAACAGCTAAGAAAATGCAACTCATTCTCTTTATTGCAGACATAGGTATGGAGTACACTTTAAGGTATGGTAAAAAAAAATTTTCAGTTTTTTAAAAGGAAATTATATAAATAATTGAGTGCAGGGTAGATCCAAGGCAGAGAGTCTGGAGGTTATATATGAGTTGGAATAGATGATTTCTGATGTCCCTTTCAACCCTGAGATTCTCTGTAGTTTTGTGACATTGTGGTTGGGAGATTTGTTAGAAGGTTTTAACAACAGGAATTCTTACTTACCCCAAATAAAAGCTCAACCAAAAGGAATGAAGTTATAATGATGAAATTTCAGGTATCAGCAAGTAAGTAGGGGAGGTTGTTTGTAGCCAAGGAAGCCTTACCAGCATTCCCCAATCCACAAATAAACAGTCACTTCCTCTATCTGGCCTGAATGGTAGCTAAAGGATGACATTGGCTTGGCTACCTATGTCCCCAGGTGGGCTCCTATTTGCCAATCATAGTCTTATCTATAAATATCTCCCAGTCTCAGCCACACACTCACAAACTCTACCAGAGATACCAGAAGTTCAGCACCTAATTTATAGAGGAGGAATATGGTGCCCAAAGATGGGAAGGGACTGGCATATGATACAGACAAGAAGAAATAACAAGACCTTGGTCTTTTAGGGGGTACCAGTTCATTGCGCAGGCTGCCTGTCTCACTCTCGATTCATGTCTAGCCATTCATGTTTCCACAATAACTTCGATACCATTGCCAGAAGCAGCTTAGCACATAAAACATAGAAGAGCCAATATGTCATCAATCAGAACATGCTAAAGCCTTGCCCCTACCAAGGCATCCAAGGCTTTGGCAAAGTTAGCAATATTTTGATTCTAATAGAATTCCTAAAATTTCTGTTATCTTTACTTTGAAATAATTAATTAAATATTGAAATAATTAATTAAATTACTATATGTTAAATAATTTAATTCAACAAGTTTTTAAGTTCTTACTATAGGCAAGGGACTATGAAAGTCACTGGGATACAAAACCAGAAGGAAAAAAATCCCTGACAGAGGAGCTCCCCTTCTAAAAATATGGCATTCTTGGTGTGTATGAATTAACTAATTCTTTTGATTTAATTTTTTAATTCAGATGAATTAGCTAATTACTAGTCTTGTTTAAATAATAATTCACTTGAATTAACTAAATTACTATTAATCTGGATAAATTACTATTAATCTGGATAAATTAATATTGCTATTTTATTGGTATCACTTCTCTAGAAAATGCTTCCGGCCATTAGGTCTTGTTTCTTTCACAAAGGCCCTGACCCAGTCCTCTCCTGAACCAGATTCAACCTTTCCTATCCACCAACTTTAGTGGCTATTCAACCAAGAATCCCTGAGCTGCTGGGGCACCCGTGGCTCTGGTCCTTTGGCTCAACAAGAGGTTGGTGTTATGTAAATGGACCCTCTTCTCTTTCCGAGCTGCTGGAAGACAAAATGAAGTCCCCATACTCAGACATCCAAGTTTTTTCTATGTTAAAACATTTATTTCAGAGAGCTGAATTCTCGGAATCAAAATGTCAGTGCTAAACCAGTGTAGAGATTCTTTCTGGCCAAGAGGACACCTTAATCACTATATTTTCTAAGAGCAGGAGCTAGAAGTTCCAAACCCTTCTGGATTCATCCTGTACTGGAGGAAATGTTCTCAAAATGCCCAAGGGCCCTGTCCTGTTACCATCAGGTACCATCAGAGGAGTCTAGTAACTATCACTGACTCTTTGTTTGGTAATATGTGATCTTGGCCATTTCAATTCACATTCTATGTGCTTGAGTCCCTTTTCAGGGGGACAATTTGTGATTCTGTAATATAATCCCCTTTCAGCTTTGGGCACATTTCCCCCCAGAAATGAAGGATAGAACAAGAAAAACCTGCTTCATATGACCTTTATTGATATAGCTATGGTTCGTTACAATTCATCATGTTTGGCAGAGGAGAGAGAAGAGAGTCAGAAGACCTGGAAGAAGCAACCAGAAACAGATTGTGTTCTTGAGTTATTTCAGTTATGCCTGATTCTTCATGACCCCATTTAGGGTTTTCTTGGCAAAGATACCAGAGTGGGTTGACTTTCCTTCTTCAGCTCATTTTATAGATGAGAAAATTGAGTTAACAAAGTTAAATGACTTGCCCAGGGTCACACAAGTGACCCTTAAGTGTCTGAGGCTAGATTTGAACTCATGAAGATGAGTCTTTGTGACTCCAGGCCCAGCACTCTGTCCACTGTGCCATCTAGCTCCTCAGAAACATATACTCACACTCATTCTTCAGTCACAATCAACAATTGTTAAGTGCTTACAGTGTGTTCGGCATTCTACTAGACCCTGGGGATACAGGTACAATGACTGCAACAATCCCTACTTGAAAATAAGCTTTCATTCTTGTCATTGCTCTGCAATCATCTCAAGTTAGACTATTACTTGAAAGGCAGAAGAGCATTTGTGGAAAGATTGAGTTTTCCAGTTGGATCATCCTTCCCCAGGGTCTAGGAAGCAGGCATTCTGATGCAATGAGTAAAAGAAACTTCTATTACAAAGTAGTTCCTCATTCATTTCTTGGTGACAGTCACCCAATAGGTCGTATTGTTCAGTCATTTTTCAGTCATGTCTGACTCTTTGTAACCCTATTTACATTAGTAAAGATACTAGAGTGGTTTGTCATTTCCTTCTCCAGCTCATTTTACAGAGAAAACTGAAGCAAACAGGGTTAAGTGACTTGCCCAGGGTCACACAGCTAGTATATGTCGGAGGTCGGATTTGAGCTCAGAAAGATGAGTCTTCCTGACACCGGTGTGCTATCCACTGTACCACTTAGCTGCCATCTAGAGAGGGAGGTAAAACCAGAATGGACAGAGCAGTCTGAGGCTGAGATGTAGAAAGTGTATCACAGCTGGTTAGGGAAAGACTGACCTTGAATACAGATCACCTGACTCTCCTCTTATGTTTCTTTCCATTGAACTATTTGAGGTTGGGTGGAATGATTTTGCATCTGAGATCTATCTTCTGACTACTACAATTTAGTCCTGAGGGTAAACATTGTGTCTCTCCCAGGGAATACTTTGGCTTTTCTTTTTTTGGAGGCAATTGGGGTTAAGTGACTGGAATAAATTATTCTCAACCCGTTTAATACAGCTCATATTTCCAGAGTGCTTCAAAGTTTAGAAGGATTTTACTCATCAGATCCCTATGAGGTAGTAGTTCAAGTATTATTATCCTCACTTCACAGAGGAGAAAACTGAGACTCAAAGAAATGATTAGACCAAGGTCACACAGTCACTCATAGCCAGGACTCACACCAGGGTTTCTGACTCTAAAATAAGTGCCCTTTCCATTAAAGCAGGGATTCTTAACTTTTTTATGTATCATAGACTTCTTTGGTAGTCTGGCAAAGCCCATGGACCCCTTGTTAGAATAATAATTTTAAATGTGTAAAATAAAATACAGAAGATTACCAAGAAAAACAATTACATCGAAAAACGGTAGTCCCAAAAGTTTTAGAATAGTTTTTAGGGTTAATACCTTCTGAAGTATAAATGCTACAATCTTGCAAAAAAAAAATCCTATCAAAGTATAACTATTTAAATTTCTTTTACATACATAGATTTTAAACAATATATATTTTATTTTTACAAGACAGGGTATCTTGTCATTAGACATTGTATGCATGACACTTTCTGGGTGACACTTTCTCAGACCAGTGGATCAGTAGAAGAAATCCTCTTGCTTATTTACCTGATTAATCTCCATGAGACTTTCTATTGCAGGGTCATATACGTGTCAAAACCTCATTCTTTGGATGACCTTA